AGTCCCTGAAACAGGGCATCCTACTTGATAAAGTAGGTCAGTGACAAAGAGGAAGACCCAACAAGATGAAGTGACACAATGGCTGCAACAGTGGGTCCGAATATGACAATTGTGAGGATGGTTCAGGACCAGGCAGGATTCTGTTCTGTTGGACATGGGGTTGTTGAGTTAGAAGCAACTGGATGGTATTTAACAGCAACAACAATGTATAATTTACAGTGTTAGGATGTTTTACTAGATAGATTTTTGGTTATATAATGAAACTTGAAGTGCATGCACTTGCATACCTACTCTCAAACAGTTAACTAAAAACCAAGTGAACTATTTTAAGTGTATAACTCCTCAGTTACTCCTTCATGGGCTACAGGTTTATTGTTTTATTTAAAAAAAAAAATAGAAACCACAAGCACTTAGGGTGCATTCTCAAAATAAACTTTCTTAAAAATATGAGACATTGACATCTCAAAACAGTCACATAAAGTATTAAATTATAATTTCAGTCTATGAGAAATTTACAGTTGTATCACTTTCAAATGAAAAAAAACTGCAGATGCTATGTGATCACCAATTTTTGCCAACAAGGATCATTATGCAGATTTCATTTTTCTCAGATGATGAACACCTACCAGTTGAAACCCAAAGGTTTAAACCCCCCAGCCTCTTCTCAGAAGAAAGATGTGACAATCCACTTCTTTAAAGATTTATAGACTTGGAAACCCTGTGGGGCAATTCTGTTTTTTCTTCTACGAAATCAGAATTGTCTGGCTAACAATGAGTTTTCTACTTAAGTGAAACATTCTCTAAAGAATTAATCCAAAAGACTATGCCAGATTTATTATGTAGGCATAATTAATAGTCTGCAGTGTTGGGAGACACTTTGGATTTACCAAATGAATAGATTAACTAGATATCTACTAAAAAATCAATCCAAGAAATAATTCTATAGGCTGTTTTGGGATATTTATCTACAGTACCAATATCTAAGCCACTAAAATAAACAATGTGGAAATAATATATATTTATTTGATGCTATCATCCTATGCAAGGAGCTCTGGTAGCATAAAGGTTACAAATTGGGCTGCTAACCTCAAGGTCAGCAGTTTGAAACTACCAGCTGTTCCATATGAGAAAAATGAGGTTTTCTGGTTCCATAAAGATTTATAGCCTTGAAAACCTTATACAGGGTCTCTATGAGTCGGAACCGACTCCATAGCACATAATGCAAAGTCCTGGTATGGAACTGTAGGATAAGCAATGGACTACAAACCATAGAGTTGACAATTCAAACCTACCAGCAACTCCTCAAAAATACTATACAGGGTTGTATGAGTTGGAATCAACTTACTGGCACTTAACAACCATAAAAACAGTCATACTATGCATTGTTTGATGTATTTTGCTAATGTAACAGAAAATTTTTGAAAAGCAATTTTTCTAGTTGGTTGGCTTAATTTCTTCCTAAATCTAAGAGCAATAATAATTAAATTAGATTAATTGAAATTGTAATAATAATATTGGACTTCCAAATTGAGTACAAAAGAAAACTGATGTTCAAACAGGTTAATCCTATATATCATATTCTTGTAATTAAGCCATTTCATTACTGACTATACATATTTGGTTGGTTAATGATGCTAAACTCCTTTGTAGTTTCTCCACATAAGGTAGACAGTTTAATAAAGTGGTAAGATACTATGGAAAATGCCAAAACAAAGTTCAAAACTAAAAACAATTATTAATGTTTCTTGGTCCAAGCAGTATCACTTTTTGCCCATATTCATTATGAAGCAATTGTTGTTGTTATGTGCCTTACAGTCGGTTCCGACCCATAGCGACCCTGTACAGGGTTTCCGAGGGTGTAAATCTTTACGGGAGTAGAAAGCCTCATCTTTCTCCAGCGGAACAGCTGGTAGTTTCGAACTGCTGACCTTGTGGTTCGCAGCCCGATTCGTAACCACTACGCTACCAGAGCAATAGCTTATTTTAAAATATAATATGGGAATAAAGAAATCACTGTTACATAGAAACATCGTGGAATTTCCTCCCTGATTCTGTTTTCCATGGTTCACCCTCAGCGACAAGCACACTGATCCATTCATATGGTAGGCACACTCGAAGTATTTTAAGCTTTCTCTGCGATGAGAAAAGCAATAGTTTATATTCTATAATTTTTATCAGCAGTATCAGGAATCCAACTTTTTTAATTTTCACACATTTGTACACTTTTCAATCACCAATACTTCGTTCTGGCACTTAGAATGTGAGGCAGTTGCAGCAGCTAAAGAATTAAATGCTATAAATGCCCACTCAAAAACCACTGTTGTCTGATTCCAACTCATAGCTACTCTACCGTGAGTAGCACTGACTCATAGGGTTCCCAAGGTTGTAAGTCTTTACAGAAGCAGACACCATGTCTGTCTCCCACAAAGCAGCTGGTTGGTTCAAACCACTGACATTTTGTTTAGCAGCTGAGCACTTTAACGAGGGTTCCTTGGTATAAATACCCTTTTCTTAAATCCTTTGAGTAGAAAAGGGAGGAAAAGCCCAGTCACATAACTTTGCCCTTTATAGTTTTTCCTTTAGATTATTTGTTAAAAGGAAATTATTAAATTTTCATGTGCTCTGCAGAGGCTTGTCTTGGTTTATGAAACAAAAATAAAAGGAAATGTTATTAACTGCTTCATTGCCAAAGGATAGTCATTACCTATCTATGTGTTTGGAGAAATTCTTAGCCCTTTGATTCCCAACTCTTGTATGCAATAATGTTTTAGGATTTGACCTCAATGTGATTCTATACGATAAGCATTTAACTACAAACCACAAGGTTAGCAGTTCGAGTCCACCAGCCACTCCTCCGAAGAAACATGAGATTTTCTGCTCCCACAAACATGTATAGTCTTGGAAAAGCTAAACTGAGTCACTATGAGTCAGAGCGGACTTGACTGCACTTAACAATGATAACAAATGGTTCTTAAAACATTATAGTGTAACTCAAAGGAATAAGAAATTCTATGCAAAGGTCTTGAGACCACAGGTCTTATTCTGTTCTTGCAGTCATCGTGAAAAACAGCAAGTTTGGCTATCGAATATTTATAGCTTGTCTCAAATCTCTCACAGTTTTTAAAGTATTAAACCAACTCTCTGATTGAATAGATTGTTTAACTCAGCCAACATGCCTGCATTCATGCTGTACAAAAAATGTTAGGTTTTCTTTCTTTTTTTTTTTCTTTTTGAAAATATCTAATTCATTCTACTGTGGAAATTCTCTGAACTAAGTGGATTGTAGACCAACAGAGATGTATAAACTGGGTCAGGAATTCAAGTCCTTGGGAGGCCAGGTATGATTATTTTATCCCTGGATGGAAGTGGATATGAGTTTTAAGCACCAATCTTGCCTATGTCCCTCTGAGAGCTGCCTAAACAATCTCTTTTCATTGGTCACGGCATCTTCCTGTAAAGATTGCCTGTCACTAGGAGTGAAGAAAGGACAATACCCTGCAAGAATCACAGGAATGCCATCCACCAGGGCTGATCCAGAAGAAGGTCACAGTGAGGATTTGTGCAAAATCTCATCAAAAAACCACAGGTCTTAGAAGCCTTGGATCTATTCCACACCATAATGTCACCCTCTTCTTTTATCTGACATCTTCTGACATTAAACAAAAACAAATCAAGACCATTTCCCCTTGATATAAGGCAACATCTCCCAGTTAAATAATAAATGAACATCACAGAAAATGTTCAGATTTCTCTGTGAACTTCCTGTATGCTGGATTGTAAATGTGTATGACGACTCCCTGCAACTCTACTCCCCACCAAACAATATAGCTCTGCAAAGCTTGAACTTGGGGGTTTTATTTTAGCTCCTCAAGCCTTTTTAAGCAAATGGCAGTCTCTGAGTTTAAAAAAATATCAACATCTTTGCAGGGTTCTTCTTCTCTAATAGGAGATAGCTAAAAGCATTTTATAATTGCTGTCACTTAAAGTTAGTATGAAAAAGTGTACGTCTGCAACCCCTTCATGTTTCTCAAGTCAAAATTACTATCACTTAGAATGGATTACCTGATCTGACTTATTTGCTGTTAACTGTATTGCAATAAAACAGAGATGCTGATTTAGAGCTCTAAAAGTTACATTATTTCAACAGTAAAGGCATTAATGTGAAAAAATATAATCACAAAAAGAAAAACAATTCATTCACACAGTTTAGAACAAATAAACTGAAAAAGAATAGTGAGTATTCAAAGACTTTCCTAGATTCTTTTCAGTAAAATATGTATTTTTAACTTCTTTAATAAATTATATCCTTCTAGGAAACGGACACCTGATGTGGTGCTGTAGGATCAGCAATGGACTACAAGCCACATAGTCAGCAGTTCAAAGCTACCAGCTGCCCCTTGAAAACCCAATAAAGTGTCACTGTGCATAAGAACCGACTTGCCAGCACTTAACAACAACAACAGCAACGATGTTGTTCAACTAAATAGTACACTGCTATTTGGGAGTCGTGGTGTGATACCACAGGATATGTACTGGAATGTCACCAGCTACTCCTTGGAAGCCCCACATAGGGCGGCTATGAGTTGGATCCTATTCGGTGGCAATTAACAACAAACAACATCTAGGTATAAATCAGGAAAATGTCTAGCTGTATAGTAAGCAAACTAAGTGATTTCAAAATTCCTCTGTCAGATTTCATCTCTGAAAAAATCCCTATTCTTCTTAAAAATTGTTGAATTGGTCTAAATTTTAAAAGCACACTGCATGATCATTATAATGCTCAACATTTCACACCAGGTTTGCTTGTAAAAATAAAAGCTTGTTTTTGTGACACACCACACATATCTTTGATGGTAGAACACAGGTATACATCAGGACACCTTTCATTTTGCCATCATGCGAATTGCCCCTAAGTGACAAGATACTAGTGAGACTCTACATTAGGAAGAGGTTTGATAACACACTGTTTGATGACTTAGGCAAATCAGATGGTAAATTACCTTTGAGAGGTCCCCAGCCTCCAAATAGAAGCAGATAACAAACACATTCCATGTAACCCAGAGGACGAGCCAGACAGCATACTGTAGAGAAGCAAGAGAGAAATAACACATAATTAATTTTCAATCAGCTGAGTTTAAACTTTGGAACACCCAAATCACATGATTAGTGAGAGATATTATATATTGTTTCTTTCTAAGAAACAGGATTAAATGCACATTTTTTCTCCTTTTTTCTGACTTCAATGAATCATCGTGTAGCATACAGCTCAAACTTGTTTTAAAATAACTTTAAGGATTTTAGATGAAAGAAATAGGCTGCTGTTTGGTTTAAATGTCAAATGGTTATTTTCTAGATATATTTGAAACAACAAAAAAAGAATATAAAGAATGGATGCATATCAAATATAACAGGCATATCAAAGAAATCTCATCAAAAACAGAATTCCTATATTCCTTTAGCAAAACCACCCTAAGGTAGGTTGATATACAAAATTTTCTCCAAGTAACATAGGATCATCTCCATCTCAGCCCTCATGCCTCTGTCCGACCTAATCAGCCCCTAAATGGAATTTCTCTCTTTGGTGCTGCCTTTTCATTTCTTTGCTCACCTTATTTTATCCTCGCATGATCTCCCATTACAGAGGACATCTAGTTATTATCTCTAATTTCATTCTGTTGTCTGTTCAGTGCACCCTTTACATTGATGACAAATTATCTTTCCAAGACATAGATCTGGTCATTCAGTCAACTACAATTTAATAAGCACTTGGAAGGCAACATGCTAGGAGACATTGAGGATACAAAGGACAATGAGAACTGTCTCTGGATGTCAAGTAATGGAGATAGGTAAGCAAAGAGATGATTATTATATAGAAATTATGGATATGTATGGTCTGAGTGCAACATTCTCATTGCCAATCCTGGGAAAAGTGGTCCAGAAGAGGTGAAACAAGGTGTCTTGAAAGATTCAAACAGCTATTTGGAGAGGCTGTGGTGGGAGGGCATAATAAAGGAAGGAAACAGTATATTCAAATAATAATTCAAAGGGAAAACCAGGCTTCTGTGTCATTGCCCTACAAAATAAACACCAATGACTTTTATCCCTTGTGTATAGTTGTGTGCTATTGAGTTGGTTTCAACTGATAGCAACTCTGTACAGTTCCCAAAGAACTGCTGGTGGGTTTTTACTGCTGACCTTGTGGTTAGCAGTCAGTCCAGTGCTTATCCTACAGAGCCACACCAGGATTTCATCCCTTATATGGCACATTCCACTTTATTTTATGATTCAAGGGGATCACTGATCTGTTACGTGTTATTTTTTCATCAATATATTTCAGTTTACCTCTCTAGTTATTCTATATTTCAGACACATTCCATGTAAATGGAATACCATGTAATACTGTGGGTTAATGTGCCAAACTGCAAAGCTGTTTGAACTGCAAGGTCGGTGGTTCAAGTGCACCAGCTGCTCCTCAGAAACCCTGTATAGGGTCGCTATGGGTCAGAATCGACTCGATGGCACTTAACAACAACAACAACCACCTCTCTGCACAGTTCAGATTTTACCTCCTGAGTGCTACTTAAACAGAATTGGCTGAGTCCTACTAAGTGTTCTAGTAAAACTTCGTTCTCCTTCATTTAATCCCATATTTCTTCAAACATATATATAGCTCATTTAAATATTTACTATTTTTACTCATATTTTTATTCTTTTAAGTTCCTAGCTTAGTACTTCATGTAAAGCAGGTATTCAGAAGCTATTTATTTATCACCAGTTCGGCAGTTCATACTCGCCAGTCACTCCTATATGAGTCGGATTAACTTGACAGCACTTAAGAACAACAGACTACTGAGTAGCAATGTGGAGAAAATTTCATATAGCTTGGACATTGCTAAAAGCTGTTGCTAGGCACTATGGGGTCAGTTCTGACTCATAGTACCACAGGTACAACAGAACGAAACACTGCCTTGTCATGTGACAACCTCACAACCATTACGACGCCACTAATAGTTATCTGCTTATTTATGTGTATATGGCAATGAAATAAATTATATATACTTACATTGATTTTACAAATCAAGCTGAAAAATTTTATGTTTTTGTAATAAAAACAATAATTTTCTTATTAAATAAGTCATGAAATCACATGCAAGTGGCAGATGAAGTATAAGAACTTGGGACCTAAAGTCCTGCTCTGTTCCCTTGGAACTCTGTGACTATTCAAATCATTTAGTTTCACTGCTCTTTAGTTCCCTCAACTGAAAACTATGTATAATAAAAGCACCCTGGTGCTGCAGGTGAATGCCCTGGACTGCAAAGTCGGTTTGAACCATGATGTCAGTGGTTCAAGCTCACCAGTTGCTACTAGGAAATAGGGTTGTTTTGGGAAGGAATCAGCTCAACAGTACTTAACAACAACAGCAACAACTCAGGGTGTGGCATAATAAAAGCAGCCTGGGGACAAAGCTCTGTGGGATAAAGCACTGGACCTTAATGTTGGTTTGAACCACAAGGCCCATGGTGCAAACTCACTGGCGACTCCTTGAAAACCCTATATATGGTCACCATGAGTCAGAACTGACTTGATGGCACTTAGCAACAACAACTCCCATAATTTATAGGATGAATGAAGACTAGAATATTTTTTAAATATCCAAATTTGTGCTCTTATTATATGTTGAAATTTCATTTAAATGATTATGCTACATCTTAAGTGCACCTTGTCTACGTAATACAATAATGATTCCAAAATTTGTATCTCCCTCAACATAGTAAAAGTATATATACTTTTGACTTGTACTTATGCAAAAGATTCTTCTACCTAATTGAATTTGTAATCTAGATTTGTCTTTTTAATACACCATATTTTTTATAGGTCAAGTTTATATATAGATTTTATGCCATTATTGATAGATGGGTAGAATTTTACAAAACATATGTCTTACTTTATTTGGTTTTCTTCAAACAGTAATTTTCTATTTCTGATTTAGTATATGACATAATTATAGAGCTTTATATATTTCAGTTACTTTTCCACAGTATTTCAGAATAATGATATTGTTCTTCTTTATTATAAAGGAGTATCCAGAAGAATGTGTCCAGAAAGAGCATAAGAAATGTTTCTTCCATAATTGTGTATTCGCTTGTATTATTTTCATTTTATTAGTTACCTCAGTACAAATCAGTTAGTCCATATTGCTCTCTAGTTCATTAAAGATTTACAAAAGAGAATGATCATGGCTAGAGATAAAGCTCCTTCAATACACACAGAAGCCCACACTAATGCTCCAGATTGCAAGCACTGGGTTTATCTCACTAACCAAAAGCAGGGGTTGTCTAATATAATCATTTAACCTCCCTCTACTTCTCTCTTTATTCTCTGCTTTTCTAACTTTTTTTATTATTCTTTTTCACACTTGATTTTCTCATTTTAGCACCTGACATTTATCTAGGTTCTGGTGTGGCACTGCAGGATAAATACCAAACCGAAAAGTTGCTTTGAGCCACAAGGTTGGTGATTCAAACTCACTAGGTGAGAAGGGGAAACCCTATTCAGGGCTTCTGAGTCAGAACTGACTCAAGGACCCTTAATAAAAACAACAACAAAGTGGATTTTTGAAGCTTGGTGGCTCCATACAATAAGTATTGGACGGTGAACCACAAGGTCCGTGGTTCGTGTCTCCCAGCTGCTCTGTGGGAGAAAGATGAGGCTTTCTGCTCCAGTAAAGATTTGAAGCCTCAGAAATGCTATACAGGGTCATTATGAGTCAGAACCAACTTGACTGTAATTAACCACAGCAACAACAACAACAGCAACAAGTGGATTTTTTTCTAGTTGCCTAAATACAGATGAACAGTTTTCATTTCATCGTTATTTGACCTCTGAGGAATTTTTGTCAGTAAACCCTATTGTTCGTGTTTTAAAATTTTTCATCATAATAATTTAAGAGTATAAAAATCTGTACTAACTTTTTCTGTGTTGCTATTGCTAGTTGTAGTTATATAACTGACAATTGCTCAGTTTGAGAATAATTGAAAATGATGACCTATCTAGGTGAGATAGCCTAACAGGATAAACAAAGTATCAAACTTACCAGATATCACCTAACTTGTAATTTTCTGCTTTAAAACTATTATTGCTTTAGCATCATAATTTTAGCCTCATCATTTCTTGTAAGAAAAAAAAAATCGATTTTATGTGTGGGTAGAAACTTTGGGATATTATTTGTGATAATAGACAAATCTCGAGGTTAGTGAAATTTACTTCTAAATGTTGATTTCCAAAGCATCAAATGAAACTTGAGTCTCAAGCTAAACAATTAACACTTTCAACTGAAAAATATAATTGAACCATCAACCTTTTCCTATTGTATAGATGACTCTAATATTGAAATCAAATTAGATATAAAATTAACATCAGCCAAAACATTAAAAATAAAAGTTATAGTCTAGATCATGAGACACTAGGCCATATGTCATGGTTGTATTATAAAAAGAAATGTAGGAGCTCAAACTAAAAGGCTAATAAATAGTTTTTGGAAAATAAAAAGACATACCTGTTATTATGTCAACATTTTGCAACCTCATACTCTTACAATAAAGCTAAGATTAGAGACCTATATATTTTTTAAAGGATGAAGTATTTTAATTTATTCAAACCTTTGAAAAGAATATAGCAAGCTTCCACATAGCCATCACTGAGTTGGAAAGATGTTAATATTTATCTTTCTTGTTGATATTTTAAACAAAGTATTACCAACACACTAGAATATACCACTATCCCTTCCATTTCCCTCCTTACTTTCCATTTCCCAATAATAGTTACTATTATCATAAAATTGGAGTGTATTCTTCATATAACATCTTTTATACTAACAACTGTTGTGGTGGTGGTAGTTAAGTGCCATCAAGTTGGTTCCAACTCACAGAGATCTTGTATAGAGTTTCTGAGGAGAGGATTTGAACCACTGGCCTTGTGGTTCAAACTAACCTTATAAGTCCAGTACATTATCCTTCAGCTGAAGTCAAGTTAACTTTGACTCATGGGGACACCTGTAAACTAGAAGGAAACTCAACCTAG